TAGCTTAATTGTTGCATCTTCAATCTAGTCTTCTGCCCAGGTGAACAACAAGGACGTTATACTCCTCCACCACCTCTACTTCTTTTCCCATGATGGAAATAGTGTTTGACCTAATCCTGAGATCTTCAATCATCTCCTTTTGTTTTGTTGATATCCAATATACTATGCTCATTTCCATACCATGTCACAAAGCAGTCCATCAGCTCTGTGTACTAAGCTTCTTGCCCATCTCTGATACACTGTGGTCCGTTTCTCTTTAAACCAGGATATTGTTGAGGCCTCAGTCTGGAGTTTCTGACAGAGCAAATCAGGCTGAATTGTGTTAAATGCACTGGAGTAATCGAAGAACGTGATCCCCACAGTGCTGCCTGCTTTGTCCAGATGAGTGGATTTGTTGAACAGGTGTATGATGGCATCTTCAACTACCACTGCATGGTAATAAACAACTGTTTGCTTATTCAGGTGGGTCAACTGGAGTCTGTATAGAACCTTCTTGATGTGGGATGTCAGGGCAACAGGGTTTAGTGATTGAGGACAGAGGGCTAAGTTTTATTTTGCACCTAGTCACTAGCTGAACCAATCTTAGCATTTACACTTATATTTCAAAAATCAATGACAAACAAGAACATACAAACATAAAATCTTATTAAAAGGGGATATTCTAAGGAGAACTGAGAATGGACGTTGACAGCATCATCAGCTGATTCTACCAATTGTGTTTGCTAGTTAGCTAAATTATGCATAACTCCAACCACTAGATGGCAGCCAAGTGCTTCCAATATGATCCTTGGTATATGTAAAACACCCATCAACGGCCATTAGCGGTATACATGCAACGCCTTGGCTAGGGGCTGGTTTGCGGTGAATTTGCAATAGTAGGTTACAAGTGGTAAACAACTGCAGAATCATCTACAGAATATATTATTTTAACTAAATGTTATGCCATAACAAAGGCCTATTGAAGAAAGTCAGATTTCTAAGCATTTCATGTTACAACAGCAAGGGTGACAACACAGATCAGGGGGAAAGGGCAGTCAGCTACTATGATACCTGTCATTTTAAAATGACTTGAACTACAGCACTAACTCAATACTGGGGATTGGATCAAGACATGCCTATACCCCACAAAAGCAAGGCCCCGTGCAAATTTAAAAAAGATAAAAAAAAGGTTTTAACTTTACATTTCTTAAAAAAGGGGGCAAAAGAAAGGGTTTATATGGATTTCCTTTCAAAAAGGGAAAAAAAAACCCCAAAATTTTGGGTTTAAAAGCCCCTTCCCCAAAAAAAATTTTTAAAAATTTTTGGGCAACCCCCCCGGGGGTTTTTTTAAAAAATTTTTTGTTTTGTAAGGGTTTTGGGGTTTTTTAAAAGGGAGGGGGGGGTTTTTTTTCCCGGGCAAAAAAAAAACCCCCCCCAAAAAAACAAAAGTTTAAAAAAACAAAAAAAACCAAAAATAAAAAAAAATTTTTTTAAATTTTCTGGAAATTAAAAGGATTTTTAGCCCCCGGGGGGTTTAAAATTTTTCCCGGTACAATTTTTGGGGGTTTTTTTTTTTAAAATTTTTTTAAAAAAACCCCAAAATTTTTTTTAAGAGGGTTTTGGGGTGGGAAAATTTTTTAAAAATTGCTTAAAAAATTCTCGTTTTTTAAAAGGGGACCAAAAAAAGGAATTGAAAAAAAAAAAATTTAAAGACAAAATTGGGCCGGGAAAAAAGTTTTAAACCTTTAAAATTCCCCCCCCTTTTTTTTCTGGGGAAATAAAATTTTAAAAAAAGGGGGGGAAAAAATCCCTTGAAAAACAAACCCCTGGGTTTTTAAATTTTAAATTTTTGGGGGTTGGAACTTACCCGGGGGTTTTAACCCAGTTTTGGGGCCCCGGGGTTTTTGTTTTTGAAAAAAGGCCCCCCTTTCTTTTTTAAAAAGAAAAAACCAAAAAGGAAAATTTGCCGTTCCCCCCCCCCCCCCCCCCCAAAAAAAAAAAAAAGGGGTTTAAGAAAAAAAAGGGGGTTTTTTTAAACCCCCTTCCCCTTTTTTCCCCCCGGGGGGTTTCTTTTTTTTTTTTTTTTTGGGGGCCCAAACGTTTTTTGGAAAGGGGGGTTTTTTTCTTTTTTCCTTGCCCGTTTAAAAAAACCCCCAAAATTTTAAGGGGGGAAAAACGGGGGAAAAGGGGCCCTTTTTGGGGTTTTTTAAAAAAAGGGGGCAAATTTTTTTTTTTTTTAAAAAAAAGGGGGGGTTTTTTTTAAAAATTTAAAACCCGGGGCCCCGGGTTTGGGAAAAGGAAATTTTTCCCCACCAAAACCCCGGGATTCAAAAAAAACCCCCTTGGTTTTCTTAAAACAAAAACCCCAAAAAAAAAAAGGGGGGGAAAAAACCCCCTTTTGGGTTTTATGGAAAATTTAAACCCCGGGGGGAAAACATTAAAAACAAAAAAGGGCAAAACCCCTTTTTTGGGGGGAAAAGAAGTAAAGGGGTTATTTTTTTAAAAAAAGGTTTTAAAACCATAAAAAGTTTTCCCTTTTTTTTCAGAAAAAAAAAGGGGTTTTAAAAAAAAAAAATCCCTTTATTAAAGGAAACCCTTTAAAAAAAGAAAACCTTTAAAAAGTTTTAAAAAAAAACCTTAAAATTTTAAAAAAAAAGGGGGTAATGGAAAAAAGCCCCCGGGTGGGGGGAAAAAAAATTTTTCCCTTTCAAAGGGTCCCTCCCAGAAAGTCCTTTAAAATATTTCAAAAAAAGGAAAATTTCAAAATTTTAAAAAATTTTTTTTTCCCGGGGTAAAAACCCCCTTTTAAAATGGGGAAAAAAAAATTTTCCCTTTAGCCAAAAGAAGGGCTAAACCCAAAAAAAAAAAAGACAAAAAAAATTTTTTGCCCCTTGGTTTTTTGGGGGCCAAAAGAAAGCCCGAAAAAAAAAGGGGGTTTTGGAGTCCAGGGGGGTTTTCGGGGTCCCTTTTTTGTAAAATTTTAGTTTTTTTTTTAAGGGGCCCAAAACGGGCCCCGGGGGAAAAAAAAAGGGGTTTTTAAAACAAACCGGGAGGAAATAAAGGGGAATTTCCCCAAAAAAAAAAATTTTTTTTTTAAAAAAATTTTTTTAAAAGGGGGAAAGTTAAGCTACCAAAAAATTTTTTTAAAAAGAAAATTTATTTTTTCCCCCTTTTTGGGGAAAATTTTTTTCACTTAAAACCCCCCGGGGAAGGGGGCCAAAAAATTTTAACCCCCTTTTTTCAAGGGGGAAAAAAGTTTTGGGTTTTTGGGGCCCTAAACCTTAAACCCGATAAAAATTAATTTTTTTTAAAAAAAAATTTTTTTAATTTTGGGAAAAAAAAAATTTTTAAAATTTTTTTTATTCCAAATTTAAAAAAAAAAAAAAAAATTTTAAAAAAAAAATTCATAAAGGGGAAAATGTTTTTAAAAAAAACGGAATTTTTTAAAAAAAGGTCTTTTTTTTAAAAAAAAATTTTTGTAAAAAAAAGAAAAAAAATTTTAAAAAATTTTTTAAAAAAAAAAAACCCCCCCCCTTTAAAAAACCCCCTTTTTCCCTTTTTTTTTTCCCCCCCCCTTTTTCCCCCCCCCAACCCCTTTTCCCCCCCCCCCCTTTCCTTTTTTTTCCCCCAAAATTTTAAACCCCCCCTTTTTTTTCCCCCTCCCCCCCCCCCCCCCCCCCCCCCTCCTCCCAGATTTTTTTTCCCTTATTTTTTTCCCCCCGGTTTTTTCCCCTCTTTTTTTTTTTTCCCCCCCCCCCCCCCTTTTTTTAAAACCCCCCCCTTTTTCCCCCCTTTTTTAAAAAATTCTGGTTTTCAAAAAAACCTTTTTTCCCAAAAAAAACCCAAAACCCTTTGAAATAAAAAGGGTTTTGGGGAGCTTTGGGCAGGGAAAGGGCCTTTTGTAAATTTAAAAAATTTTTGGGAACCTTTTAGACTGCGGCGGCCCCCCGGGTATTTTTAAGCTATATTCCGGTCGATTAAATTTTGGAAAAAAATGGGGCCCTTTGGGCGGGGATTAAAAAAGTTACATTTTTTTTTTTTTTTTTTAAAAAACCCTTTTTAAAATGGGGTTTTGCTTTTCCCCCCTTTTGGAAAAAAAACCTTGGGGGGGGTTTTGGGGTGTGGGGGGGGTTTTGTGGGCGGACTTCAACAAATTTTGAGAAAAAGGGGCAAACCCCCCCCAAAATAAAGGGCTTTCCGTCAGGCCCCCTGACAGGCAGAGTTCGATCCCCTGTTCAGCGCGCTGTAGCAGCAGTGGTAGCAACCGAGGTCGGTGCAGCACCACGGACATCATCATAACAGCTGAGGGAGAGCTGGGCTGCTGACATATTGATTGCCCCCTCTGTTAAGAGATTTGATGGATTGAACCCAGACTCTTGACTTTAAACAGTGAAACGCGAAGGGCAAATCAAAAAGTCAGGGAGAAAAAAACTGAGAACAGCAGGGAAAGGGTAAACGCAAAACAAGTGACTGAAACAAAAACTCAATAAAGTCATTCATGACAGCTGCTAAAGATTATAATTAGTTTTGGTTTTTTATACAGTTTCTGGAGCACAAAGTTAAACAATCATTACATTACATTGACTATTGATTTCAGGTATAATAATACACACAAAATGTCCACTTTTTTTTTTAAACCACTAAAAAACTGTAAAAGCAAAACCAGATATTTCAGTCTTTTTTTTTTTTACCACATGCATATTTTATACAAAACTAATTTTGTGTAGGTAATTACAATTAATCTTATTAACAGTTGTATCACTTTTAAAGTGTTTTTAATCAAACATTTTTAGAAGTAAAGACAATTCATTTAAAAAGTGTGACCTTAAAATGGAGGTATTGAGGGTAATGCAGTTCTATTAGGAGAATAAAAGGACTTTAAGTCTATCACAGGGCAACGCTGAGACACACAGAACAAAAAACCATGCATTATGGACAATTTAGAGAGACCAATTAGAAAGCCGGAGTACCTAGAGAGAACCCATGCATGCAAAGGGAGAACATGCAAACTCCATGCTCAAAGACCCCAAGCCAGGATTTGAACCCAGGACCTTCTTGCTGTGCTACCAACTGCGCCACTGTGCAGCCCCCTTAAGAAAACCTCTAAACTAGTTTATACATACAGTATATTTAAAAAATATATAATAATACATATAAATGATCCAAAATTTGCCAAAACACATAATTTAGACTAAGTTTTAAAATAACATCTGTTCAATTTACCATGTATTTCACAAGTGGAAAAAAGAGACACTTAATAAAAGGTTACAACAGCTATTCGTTGCTGCTATCAACTCGGCTATGAGCCACAAGACCTCCAATACAGTTTCCAGACAAGGTTCAGGGAAGGATTACAGTACAGGTGAATAAAGAATGATTCTTCACATGTTTAGAAACTGGAACACTAAGGCTGATTTTCTCAAGGTTGCAGTAATTTTAAACGCAAGTGTCTGCCTCACACCAAGGTGACCATGGCCTTAAAGTTACTTTAGTGCATGCTTTTCTCTGTAAATGCTTTGCTAAAACAAACTCATTGTCCTAGGAAGAGCATCAACTGCACTAAAATTCTAATCAAAACTCTAATTACATATTTGGTTTCCCAATTTTATGTCATGCATTTAAAATGTCTATCCATCTGGGGCATTTCCACCAAAATATTCAACGATGCAAGAGCCGGTTCTCAACTGGTGCCATAACAACACAGGAATTAGGCAGTTTGGTTTTTGACAGGTAGAAAGTCAGCTGGGTACCATCTCATTAGATCACTTAAAGGATTTCTCTCAAATGTTTGATCTTCATTCTTCAGTATTTAAACATTTTTGTAGAGTATGTCAGAACAGGCAGACAGTTTATTTACACAATTAACTATTTTTCTCATTATCGCCTCAAACAAATCACTTTAACTTCATTTTGTCTCATAACAACCATTAACCTCAGTTTTCAGGGATTGTGTATAATTGTAAAATGGGAGGAAAATAATACGTTGGTTTTTTTTTTACAAAGGTTGTGCATATTTGTACACTTTTCACACTAACACCCCTAAATAAAACTTAGTGTAATTAATTTATTAAAGTAAACAAATGTGAAGGCTTCAGAGGTTTGTTAGAGAACATTAGTGAACAAAGAGCATCATGAAAACCAAGGCATACAGCAAACATGTCAGGAATAAAGTTGTTGAGAAGTTTAAAACAACATCTTGAGCTTTTAACATCTAAACTGACAACACCAGGCAAGGAGGGTCTAATTTAGAGAAGCAGCTAGGAGGCACATGGTAACTGGGTAGGAGCTGAAAAGAGTCATCACTCAGGTGGAAGAATCTGTTGACATGACAGCCATGGCTCCACAACTTTGGCATTTATGGAAGCCTGGCATAAATAAAGCCATGGTTAAAAGAAACCCTTACGAAGACCAGTTTGTCAAGCCATGTAGCACACATGTGAAATATGGAAAAGGGTTGCCTGTTTGGAAAGAACCCTATGATTGACCTTTCTGGCATATTTAGCCAAAAATCCAATCTCTGGGTGGGCAAAGCTGGTAGAGACATACAGCAAAAAAGCTTCGGCTGTAAATGCTGCAAAAGGAGCCTCAGCAAAGTATTGACTCCGGGGGACTGAACCAAAATGAGTGCCACAATTTTCATATATTTATAGTTAAAATGGTATAAATATTTTTGCAAAAAACCTAATGACACAAACCTCAACCTGTTTATCAATGTTTTTTATAAATGCAACTTGTCTTTCTCACACATCGTTTCAAACAGGATTTATTAATACACCGTGCCATAACACAAGATGTGACTGTGTTTATGAGCAGCATTGAAAACTTTATAAATAGAGCTAGAGCTGGGCTTTATTGGTGTTATTCTAAATCAGGCAGTAGAACCAACTTGGTAGTTTTAAACATGGCAAGATTTCCATTTATGAAAACGTCTTTCTCCTGTAGGCCAGGAAAGTTTTGGTTACAAGAACCAGTTTCACTGTGCCACAGTAAGTGCTCTGTGAATACAGAAAGAACTGTCAAGCACATACTACCACCTTATGAGCACTGAAATCTTTTGACAGCTCTAGAAATTCTTATTAATCAGATCAATTGCTATTTCAGGCATCAACTTTTCCATCTCCATCATCACCTGTATGCATAGCTTTGATATTTAGTAAAAAAATTAAGAATAAAAAAAATGAAGCATGGAGAGAGTGGGATAATCTGTGAGAAAATGCATCCCTTTCTCCCTGCTCTCATACCAACTGTCCACGGCAACCCATCAGACGGACGCCCTAAGCCTAGTCCCTCGCCTCGTCAGGCCCTGTGGGCTTCAGAGGCCAGGCAGAACCAGAGAGGGTACAAGCTTACACTAACGATAGAGGAAGCCATGTCCAGTGGGCTGGAGCCTGAGATGGAACAGAAGACCCTGTACCATTGTTCTGCCAACCCACTGACAGCATGTGATTTAGGACCAGAGCTGCCCAGGAGCGTTAGGGGAGGAACAGGAGCAAGGAAGGTCACAGAGTGGCTCCACAGGCGCCCTTCAACAATCCTACCCGAATCCCTCCATCCATGAGATGGCAAAATGAATCATGGCTGACCCAAAGCTAGGTCTGGGCCTGCCCTTTCTCTACAGCCCCATACCCCTTCTATCGACCCCCTCCTTTGCCTTGAAAAACATGACAAATTTGGTGTTTATTTACTTAAAAAGACCTAGAGAAAGAGCAAAGGAGGGCAGGTAAAAAAACTGCATAAAATCGATACAGAGTTAGCAGTTCCTGCCCTGCTGCTGCTCTTCTTTGTTTGAGCAGCAAAAGAAATATAAGCTGGAGCCTAATAAGGACCCCAGGTGGAGAAGGGAAGCAGGTGTCTTCTGCAAGCTGCACATATCCGAAGGAGAAAGAAAAGGGAAAGCCAGCAGAGATGAGGAGGTGGTACAAAGTTAACCAAAACTGTTCTTTATTTTGCAATCAGTGACAAGTAAGGACCTCCAGCTGACTGTCAATTATGACGGTCATCTTAAGGTCAGACTGTATGTTGAGCTCTAAACAGTCAAAAGAAACTGTGGATGTATGAGCTTAGTCAGAGACATGGGAGATTGTCTTAAAGTTTGACCAGACAACAGAGCATTGAGTCCACAGAGCATCCGCTCTCGCCACATGACAGGGAGAAAACCAATAAGGCTCGCTCTAGGGGGAAAGGGAGGGTGGCCATCAAGCTGCTCCCCTAAAATGAAATAGCAGCGGTGAGCTGTCAAGGTTTCTGTCATATCCTACATCACCTCAGCCGCCCATTCCATCCCATCTCTGGCAAACCATGCAAACGGCTACGGCCAAGGATGAAAGTGCTGGAAAATGGAAGTCATTGTAAACCATTTTCTGCCCTGGAGCCCCCACCTCAGCCATCCTCTCCAACTCCACCCCTCTTCTTCTCAACTGCTGTTGAAGACAAATGGGTGCAGGGCAATGACAGAGTGCCTGGTCCACAAATCACCAGCGGCTGAGCTGCTCGTCCACTGCTTCGTCTTCCCCCGCTGCCCCCTCCCTGCACATAACCTCACAACCCTCCACCCCCCAATTCCCGGCCGCTCCATTAGTCATGTGCACACGGGCAGCAGCCAGCAGCCGTAATTAGACAAGGACAAATCGCCGGCCGCGGACATAGACGAGTCCGGCCGCTAAATAAGGCCCTTCCATCCTGTAGGGTGGGTGGCAAAAAAGGGCCAAGAAGGAGACTGGCGTGTCAGACAGATACGAGGGAAGGGAATGGTACTGTCCAACTAACAATATCCTTTTGGTTTGGCCTGGAATGGCAACACATATTAATACTCCAGGCAAGTGACTCACGTCCAGATCTAATCTATTATCCCCCAAACTAAACAGTAAATCCAACATGGCTTAGCCTCCACTTTTCTCCAGAATGATCAAAGTCCAAGTCTCTCAAATGCTATTAGTGGCACTTGGGCTGCCTATGGTATTGTACTCAGAAGAGGTTTTGGTATTAATTTTTTAAAAAGTAAACATTAATTAGTTATTAAGCACAACTGATGAGCCTTATTTCAAACATAAACTACTTAAAATGGTGCACTAGAGAATATTTTGACAGCTTCCAGAATGAACTCAAGTGGACAACAGGTAACTAAGAACAAATGGAGGTGGAATGTAGATCTGGGAATTAAACCCAACTTAACCATGTTGCAGTTGCAAGTCAGAAAGCCAGAAGGATATGACAATTACTGTCCTTAGTAACAAACTATAAAATATTAACTATAAAATATTAACCCTATAAGCAAGTGATGAATTACAGATGGGTAATCTAACATTTGTGTCAGAGATGATACTTGGATCAGATATTGGGTTTAGGCCAATGATCCATCCCACAATCCAAACTGCAGTGTTTTGTTGCTGCAGGGAAGCTTAAGGTTGTCAGTCATAAAAAAATTTTCATACCTAAATAATATATACACAGTGAATGAATTGTGTATATAAAATGCCTTAAATGTATCAATAAGCATGTTTTTCTTTTTTCTTTTTAACTGGCAGATTACTTTAAACATATCAGAGTCAGAGGCTTGCTGTCAGCAGAGTGTTACTGGCTCAAAGTGTTCACCTCGCTGTGCAACGTCACTTTCTATAGTAAATATTTTGTGCTCAAAGTTAGAAAATACAAATTACTACAGTAATAAAAATCCAGAGCGAGACAGAAAAGAAACAAGGAGCTTTAGCAAAAGACATACATTTGCTTCTCTGTTTTTCTACTTTTAACCTTGTCTGCCATTCAGCATAAAAGGATTTAGAAAGGCCAGCAGCTAATCGGAAGATTTCGACACAAATTAGGAATATTTACAAACCAGATATTTCACAGAGAGTCTGCTGTTAACGTTAGTGATGCTAACAGCGCCAATCGAAAATAAAAGTTCCTAAAAACTGTTAAAAAAATGTCACCATCATATGTTCTTGGCTTTATTTCACTAAAATAGGAAACTACTGTTTTAATAAGCTGTTTTACTCAACTTCTCTCAATCTTCCATTTATACACAACTATTCAGCTCTGCTCATTAATTATTAATTGCCATTCATTTCAGAAAAGCTTCTTATGGAGGGATT